ATTCCAGCTCCCGCCAGGGGTATCCTGCTGTTGTGTCCTTGGGCAAGACACTTCACCCAACTTGCCTGTGTTAGTGGTGGTCAGAGGGGCCGACGGCGCCAAATGGCAGCCTCGCCTCTGTCAGACCTCCCCAGGGGGGCTGTGACTACAAGCAGCTTACCATCACTAGCAGTGTGTGAATGTGAGAGTGTGTGAAAGCGTCTTTGGGTGTCTAGAAAAGTGCTATGTAAGTTCAATGCATTATTATTATTATTATTATTATTATTATAAAGCTGCTCCACATCGACATAAACTGAGTTTCCTTTTGTGTGCTTGATCTTAAGCGCTCAGTCCACTTGAGGCGCTGAGATTTCTGCTAATGGACTGATCTGTTCTGGGAGGAGCAGCTCGGACACACTGACTGTGTATGTAAGGGATTTGTGTTGCAGGAGGATGGGATGGAGGAGGCACATATGTCCAACCATGTGTGCAGAGAAGTGCTTTACTTAATTCAAAAGCCTGGGAATGTGGCCTCCTTTTCAGTTCTCGCTTTGAGGCTTATTTGACATGAGGAAGTGCTCAGAGCGGCAGAAGCCTTCATATCCTCTATGCTCTTGTTTTTCTCTCGGTTATTTTCTCCTTTTTCCCTCCAAATATTCTCAGGTTGCATTTAGCTTAATTTAATTCAGCTTCCACCAAAAAGAATCTGCCTAGTCGGTAAAATATGAGATTATTCTTATAGATGGGCAACACATATGCTATACAACTCTCTTTATAAATGTAAATAAATATATATATACATATATATATATATATATGTATATATATATATATATATATATATATATATATACACTCACCTAAAGGATTATTAGGAACACCATACTAATACGGTGTTTGACCCCCTTTTGCCTTCAGAACTTCCTTAATTCTATGTGGTACTGATTCAACAAGGTGCTGAAAGCAGTCTTTAGACATGTTGGCCCATATTGATAGGATAGCATCTTGCAGTTGATGGAGATTTGTGGGAAATGGTTCGAGCTTCATGACATGGTGCATTATCCTGCTGGAAGTAGCCATCAGAGGATGGGTACATGGTGGTCATGAAGGGGTGGACATGGTCAGAAACAATGCTCAGGTAGACCGTGGCATTTAAACCATGCCCAGTTGGCACTAAAGGGCCTAAAGAGTGCCAAGAAAATATCTCCCACACCATGACACCACCACCACCAGCCTGCACAGTGGTAGCAAGGCATGATGGATCCATGTTCTCATTGTGTTTACGCCAAATTCTGACTCTACCATTTGAATGTCTCAACAGAAACTGAGACTCATCAGATCAGGCAACATTTTTTCCAGTCTTCAACTGTCCCAACGTTGGTGAGCTCGTGCAAATTGTAGCCTCTTTTTCCTATTTGTAGTGGGGATGAGTGGTACCCGGTGGGGTCTTCTGCTGTTATAGCCCATCCGCCTCAAGGTTGTGTGTTGTGGCATCACAAAAGCTTTGCTGCATTCCTCGGTTGTAACGACTGGTTATTTCAGTCAAAGTTGCTCTTCTATCAGCTTGAATCAGTCGGCCCATTCTCCTCTGACCTCTAGCACCAGCAAGGCATTTTCGCCCACAGGACTGCCGCATACTGGATGCTTTTCCCTTTTCACACCATTCTTTGTTAACCCTAGAAATGGTCGTGGGTGAAAATCTCAGGTACTGAGCAGATTGTGAAATACTCAGACCCGTCTGGCACCAACAGCCATGCCACTCTCAAAATAGCTTAAATAACCTTTCTTTCCCATTCTGACCTTCAGTTTGGAGTTCAGGAGATTGTCTTGACCAGGACCACACCCCTAAGTGCATTGAAGCAACTGCCTTGTGATTGGTTGATTAGATAACTGCATTACGGAGAAGTTGAACAGGTGTTCCTAATAATCCTTTAGGTGAGTGTATATATATATATATACACTGTTTATTTCCTATCGGCAGCTAATGTAGAAAATAGGGTAGAAGACTATTCATCCAATTATTTTCTTCCGCTTATCAGGGGTCGGGTCACAGGGGCAGCAGCCTAAGCAGAGGCCCAGACTTCTCTCCCCCAGCCACTTGGGCCAGCTCCTCCGGGGGACTCCCCAGGCGTTTCCTGGCCAGTTGAAAGATAGCGTGTCCTGGGTCTTCCTTTAGGCCTCCTCCCGGTTGGACGGGCCCAGAAAACCTCACCAATGAGGCGTTCAGAAGGCATCCTAACCCAAGCCCGAGCCATTTCAGAGTGGCCGATCACGTACCATAAAAAAGTCAAAAATGGTTTCTGTTGGTCTTTAATTGTTCTTTTTGCACCTTTACCTGAATATTGATTCTAGCTTGGATATGCTGATCTAATCTATTCTAAAAGCAATCATAGCTAAGCGTCCATCATGCTGCTGCTGCATCCTTCTGGTTGATGTATTCGGATCTGAACCACCAACTTGTATCACTCTATCAAAAATGTATTTTCTTTTGTCTGCCTGTCATGTGAAGCACCATTCTGGTACCAAGTAGGAACTTTATCTCTACTTCTCAAAGAGAACCAAAACCTTTATCGTGGAGCTTGGGGGGCGTCCAGCCCTCTGGCCCAAACTTCTCCAGAAATAGGGCCTGTTTTTGTAAGGAGAGATGCATCCTCCTTCTTCTCCATTCTTTGTATTCCCAGTGAGACTCTGGTGGTCTGTCGGATCTCTGAAGTGGGGAGAAGTGTACTTTACGTGATTAGAGACTCTGTTAAACTCATTCAGAGAGGCAGGAAACATGACGTCTGGAGCCATCCCACATTGTTTTGGTTTTCCAGCAGGATCCTCTGCAGCTTGCAGACAGAAATGAAGAATACTTCCTACAAATACTTTGTTTACGTCCCATCTTTTACAGGAAGTCTGCTTTTCAGAGGATGCCACTTTGCATCAGATGAAGTGTTTGTTTTGGTTTTGGAGTTCCTGTTCATCCCATTGGTGAGGAATATTTTCCAGCCTTCCCACTTGTGATATCCTCAGCTGGTCCACGACATTATTGTTTCTGATTAACTAAATGTCGTCAAACCAGCTTTAAAGACTCACTGAAACATTATTAGAAAGAACGTAAGGGGGAAAAAACCTTACTAAACGTGATTGTGATGGTTCTGAAGTGTGTTTGTTATTTTCTGCATTAAGGTTTCCCACTGGGGAGGTCTCTCAGGTATCATGCTGTCCTCCTGCAGAGCTGCACACAAAGGTTGTCAGAGAAGGGAGCAGATTTTTCACTTGTTGGCATTTTGGTTCTGCAGTTGCTTTCATAACTTTAGGCCAAAACAAACGCTGCAAAAAAGTTTATTTTTGCATGTATGTTAAGTTTTTCATGCAACTGCACATCACCTAATGATTTACTGGTTTCTAAAGAATACACTGAACAAATTCGTAGCAAATTTCAGGAATTTTCCCTCTTTATGGGGACGCGTTTGCAGCTTGGTGGGAGTGCTTATCAGATGAACTGAACACTGATGGCTGTAAACAAAGTTATATGTGAGCTTTTGCTTAACGTGTGGCAAATATTTGAGATTTTTCTTTCTTTTTTAACAAGAAAATCAACTTTACTTACTTGGCAAAGGAATGTTTGATCAGTTTTAGCCCTCAACTTGGGGTTATCTGCAGGTGGGATTAGGGTCAGAGTTAACCCCATCTTTAAATAAGACGGATTGTATTTTGCTTTCAACAAACCTGAATAAAATTACTGGCTAATTTTAAACGTTTAGATCTGAAACATGCAAGATAGTGACCAGTATCGGACGACACTGGACTAAGAACTTCTTCTGAACAGTTTTTTTTAATTTAATTTATTTGTTTATTCTTTTTTTAACCAGGAAGGACCCATTGAGATTAAAAACCAATATTTCAGTGGAGTCCTGGCCAAAGTTTGGCTCCACTTTGCATAATTTTTTTTTCCATTGTGCAACAATGTGAAACTGTTAGACATAAAAATGATCTGATTAAAAGAGGAAAGCATCAAACTGTCAAAATATATAAGGGTAGAGTGGAACTAAAGCAACCTATAGTTAAAGCAAAAAACAGGAATGCATAGGTCGATTGTAATTAAAAATAAAATGTTTCACTTTTGAGCAGGAAATAAAATCTGATTGTTTCAGGTTTTTGCGGGTTGTGACGCTGAGATTCTGACACATCCTGGAAATGATCACAAGGAGATGTGGGGAATTATAAAACCTTGAACCCTTAGCCTTGATCCTCGGGCCTTTCCTTGGTGGTTTCTGGTGTAGGGCGGGATGCGTTGTCAGCAACAAAGGACAATATTCCCAGTACGGCATCTGGGAATTCTGCGTCTGATACACATTTCAGAGCCTTTACTAGAAAATAAGAGCTCTTCAGTTGTTTTTGGGGTGCTGAGGTGTTAAAAGTAAAACCTTGAGAGGTATTGAACCATTTCCAGTCTCGTCTCGTGTTTAAAATGTTGGATTTATTCAGATTTTTTTTTATCATTATTGATAAGAAAAACTCTAAAATGAGTGTTTTATATCACTGGTTCTCCAGCTGCTTTCTGATCAAACACTTGTGTTTTTAACACACAGTGCCATTGTCCCACACACCACACACACACCACTCTGTGCCGAGACCTCCACACACTGCTTAATGCTGCTGCACCACAACACAAACTGGGATTTTCCAGGGTTTGGTCTGATTACAGATTTTAAAAATGGCAGCTCACCCTCAACTTTCTAATCATTACATGTGACTCTTAAAGGGACAGTCCGCCGTTGCGATTGTTTCGTTTAGATTTTTGTATCTCTGGTTTGTTCGAAGCTGTGTGGGGAATTTAAAATGTCAGGGTTAAGCTGTAGGCCTCAGTATGACCCGACTTGACAGCTGAGTTTTATTGACACGCGTTCGCTCCAAAAGCAAGAATCTGAGCAAGCCTGAGTTTCATGTTTCTGCTTTGTGCCAACAGAAATAAAAGAAATGCTTTGAAATGGACAGAATTAATCTGGAGCCTTGTCTCCTCTTCCTCCCACCAGTGAACAGAGCATCTGCCAGGCGCGGGCCTCTGTCATGGTCTACGACGACGCCAGTAAGAAATGGGTGCCCATCAAGCCGGGCCAGCAGGGCTTCAGCCGCATTAACATCTACCACAACACTGCCAACAACACCTTCAGAGTGGTGGGCGTCAAGCTGCAGGACCAGCAGGTGGGAGGGAATCACTGGGATTAAACAGGAATTCTGGTGCTTTTCCTTGAGATTAGGAAAGTTTGAATTAAAAAAAACTTTATTTAAGGAGCTTCCAGTTATTTTAATTATGAAATCTTCACCCACATCATCAGAGAAACAACCTTTGTTCTCATCCTGATAGGTAGTGATCAACTACTCTATAGTGAAGGGCCTGAAGTACAACCAGGCCACCCCGACCTTCCACCAGTGGCGTGACGCTCGCCAGGTATATGGGCTGAACTTTGCCAGTAAGGAGGAGGCCACCACCTTCTCCAACGCCATGCTGTTTGCCCTCAATGTCCTCAGCTCGCCCGACAGTGGAGGTAAAGATCTGTCACCGCACAAGTCAGGTTTGTTTTTAGTAAGTACAAAATACAGACAGATGATGGAGTCACTAAAAACAAGTGTTTTTGAAATAACTGCTGCTGAAGGGATTACTTTAAATATTTTTCTATTCGTGTCAAATGCACATAATTTATAATCAGTAAAAAAGTTTAGTGACCTCTTTAACACATCAAAAAATGCTGATAGTTCATATTTTAACGACACTGCAGAGCTGAAACCTACTGGTGTCGTAAACTGAGCTCTACCGCCTCCTGCTGGTTGCTATTCTGCTCTGCTCTCCAACATAATCAGCAGTGATGTTTATTTTTTAACATGCAATATGATATTAATCAAGCAATTTTTGAATTTTCATTGTTATTTATCACGTTAGTTCTGGTGAATTAAATCATCTATAAAAGTAAAGCAGAGGGTCTGCACAAATGATTGTATTCATGTTTTATTATGTGATCGGTGTGTTGTGCATCTCTGGTTACAAGCTCCTTATATGTTTGGTGTGTGTGTGTGTGTGTGTGTGTGTGTGTGTGTGTGTGTGTGTGTGTGTGTGTGTGTGTGTGTGTGTGTGTGTGTGTGTGTGTGTGTGTGTGCGTGCGTGCGTGCATGTGTGAGAAAATATCCACGTTTAACTGCAGTGTCATTCCATCCCATCCTTGTGACCCTCTCTTCAGCTGCTAAAATATCCCTCATGGAGCCTGAATGTCGAAGCCCAACACGCTCCTGCAGGAACGTTTGTGGCATCTTATCACTTTCACATCTGCAGAGTTATTTCTTGTTGAGAGCAGAAACCAGTAGAGCGCGTTGTCAGTAGCTTGTTGGAATTAGGAACATTTCCTCATCATGCTGACTCTTGAGGTTCCTCCTGGTGACCTCAGACGGATCTCCTCAGCCATCATCCTCCTGAGTAAGTGTGCTGCTGCAGCACAGACCCTCATGAGTTACCAGGAACTGTCAGGAGGTGACATTTTTGCATTTAGAGCTCTTTATGCTGATGTCTTCCCTTTATTCTTACTTATTTTACATTCAAGTGGAAGAGTTCACTTCTTCGCACAAGGTACAAAGATAAGAGTATTTGCAGAGTTGATCCTTATATTTAATCCAGTTTATCGACACACTCTAATCTCAAGGTTATCTTGCAACAACAGCTGTGTTTTTTACGTTCACGTAGTCTAGATATGGGTTCATTTTAAACAGCGTTGTTAATCTGACATAACATCTGAGGTTAAACATTTCTTATAAAAGAGGATGAAGAACATGTTTGGCTGTCTGTAAAGGGGAGCTGATGTCATTCCCACAAAAGCTTGCTGGATTCTTTAATAGCTTGATGATTGTTAGAGAATTACAGTTTATTATGGAAAAATAACAGTAATCATGTCTGCCTGTTACTGTCTGACTTGTCATAGACAATATTTTTTAATCCTTCACTTTCAGGCGTGTTTCAGGGGAGAGAATCAAGTGAGAATGAAAATTATTAACTGTTCTTCTGTCACAGATATGCATCATTCACACACACACACACACACACACACACACACACACCTATTTTGGTTTCTGGGAATCGGTAAAATACTTAAAAGTCATATCAGGCCCAGTCGCCTCAGCTTCCTTCACCATGGCAACAGCCCGTATCCTGCACATGTTGTGTGCAGTAGAAACACACACACACACACATAAATAAACACAGTGAAGCACAGAAGTATGAAAAATGCTTTTCACATCTTAATCATTAACAGCTGCGGAGGGTTTGTTTTGAGTCTAGTAAATTTTATCGGGTTCATGTAACAAAGATGTTTTTGCCTCTTTTTTAAATAATCAGAAAAGATTTCTGTCCGTTCACGTCGTGTTAGACTCTTTCTGTCACGTCTGAGATGTTATCAGGACTGCGGGTTTTCTAAAATTAGGCTCAGCTGGAAGAAGGATTTTTTCTGCCTTGTTTGATTCTTTGCCACTAGAACAGATAATTGGTGCGAGCTGACAGGAAGATTGTGGAGATCAAGGAAACAAGGCGCTTTAGAAGCATCATGGTTTTTTTTTCTTTGCATCTTTCGTTGACAGAAACCCACCAGTGATATAAACACTGATCTAACACCGTAACAGGAGTTATGGACAAATACAAATTAAACTAGTACTTTATAGTTTTGAATATTGTCACTTTTAAGGTTAAATTGTTTTAAAAATGTTTTTAAAGATTTCTGGGAAAATGTCTTTAATTTGTCAAGAATGTCTGTTTTAAATGGTCAGAATTATGTTTCCCAGCTGGATTCAGGACATTGAGTCGATATGAATTTATTTGGCAGCAACATTTTGAACTTGATGAATATACTTACCTTCTGGTCTTTTAGAGACATTATTTAATTCATTTTTCTAAATTTAACACTCAGGCTGTTTAGTATTGATCTCTTGACTAGGCTGAGATTTTTGCAATGCATTGTGGGTAGGACGTGAACAGTACTGGATCAGTATTGCTTGAGAAGCAAGGCGATAGTTTACAACCTGTTTATTGATCTCTATGTGGAAACGATTTAGACTAAAACATTGTAGCAGGGATTTCCAGTATTTGTGGCTGAAGATGCAGCTGTAATACGATAAATTAGATCTGAACACAAAACAACACAAAAAAGTTTCTAATATTGATGTGTTGAAAAAAGTCGTTGTTACATTTTCTTTAATTTTAGCTGTTTTATAAAAAATGATTTCCTTAGATTTTTACCAAAAATTACATCAAATATATTTAAAATTTATGTCATATCAGACATTTTGGCAGAAAAGTAAAAGCAGAAGCTCTTAATGACAAAAGGTTACATAGGATGGTGTCTGCTATTGACCCTTATTGCCCCTCCCTGCTGCCCGTATTGCCCCACCCCCTGCTGCTCTCATCACCCCAGACACAGCGAACAGAAATATCAGCACACGTGTGACACTGATGTCACAGTGGGTGTAAGAGTTTAATGACCGGTATTCTAGCGATACGTGATGAGTGCTCTTAATAACCACCCCAGATTTGTGTGTGTGTGCGTGCGTGCGTGTGTGAGAGAGAGAGAGAGAGAGAGAGAGAGAGAGAGAGAGAGAGAGAGAGAGAGAGAGAGAGAGAGAGAGGAGGAACCAAGCATATCATGTGACACTTTCCTCACTCAAACATTTGACACCGTCTTCGTTTAACTAGCAGAATCTTGGATTTTCCTGGTGTTTTCTCTAGATTTCAGGCTTTTTGACTCCCTGTGCCAAGGCTAAAGTTCCATGGCTGGCAGCTTGGAGAACAATCTGCTCTACAAACTGCTTTGAGCCAAAGTCACATTATTTCACATGATTCCAGCTGCTTAGGCAACTTCTCTTCCCACATTAATTTTTTTTTACTTATTTTCTTCTATAAATCAGTTTCAGGATCACTTCCTGTTGCATGTTGAGCAAGACATACTTTAAAACAACTGTTGGCAGGTTTCAAACTGTGAAGTGGCAGTGGCGGCCCCAAGGGGTGGCAAAGGCTCCCCTGGAAAACTGCATGCCACCCAAATGGCCCCCTCAGGAAAGACCTCCATCATTTTTAATAAACTCTGTTCGTGTTCACATGTATCTTCTTTAATAAGGACATGACTGTAAAACCATTTTCTTTACCCACTTATCCACGTAGGGTCGTGAGGGGGCTGGTGCCTATCTCCATCTGTCTTTGAGCAAACTGGCATACTATAAAATCTAATAAATTAATAATAAATCTATAATTAATAACGAAAAAAAATAGTCATCCAACATATATTGCTACTGCTCACTGTTTTCAGAAAGAAGTATAAATATCAATAGTTTTTGTGGATGCTTTTGTTGAGACGTCAACAGGTGAATTAAAGTGTTCTAAAATGCTAAAACAGCAAATATTAAAAGAAAAATAATTGAAACAACTGAAATAGTTTTATGCTGAAATGTTTCTCAAATGTAAGGTAAATAAGTTTGATGCATTTTTTTTAAAGAACCAACCACCAACTTGGTGTCCCACCCTAAAATTTTCACTGGACCCCCTAACAAAATATTCTGAGGGCACCACTGTGTGTTGGAGAGTCCTTCAATTTTCCCACACCTCTTATTGTCTTTATGTTTATTTATTATCAAGTTTTTTATTTTTATTTTTTTGCTTTTTCTTTTTCTTCTTTTCATCTTGCAGGTCCAGTAGTTCAGCGCCAAAATGGGCCCTCCTCAGAAGAAGGTGAAGCACAGAGGAGGTACGACTAAAGCACGAGAGAAATAGTAAACCAGGATTTAATACATTGCGTAATTATTTTAAATATAAATTTACATTAAAAGCCTCTTTCTTTTCATTTTTATCAGCCTTTGGGGGATGGGAATAACCAGTTGTTATAGGTTTCTGCTGAAGAGTGTAGTCAGCGCTTGCTAAATGAGTCAAAGTCAGATTAATACCTCCTTCTGATTTAATGGATGTTGAATCAACATTTGAACAAAATTAAACATTTATTAAGTCAATATAGACAGAACGGTACATGCAAAAGGACAAAGGTTTCAGACTTCACTTAAAACCTTGGCAAATCTCTACGTTATTGACTCTTGTGTGGTATAATTTATTGGATTGGATGACTAAAGTCTGCGGGGCAAAAGCATATATATATATATATATATATATATATATATATATATATATATATATATATATATATATATATATATATATATACATACATATATATATGTATATACAACAATCCAGATTCTGGCTACAGCAGATTGATAATCAGATCAAAGTGTGGAGAAGATCAGGAGAACGGTGTTCTGATTGGTATGGTTTAGGAGGAGACAGTAAGATCGAACAACCCAACGAGGTACGGAGATGAGACTCAGCACTCCGTGGCATTCCCATTTCTCCACACTCCATGGCCAAACTCTGTCCTCCGAAAAGGCGACGCTCTTCCCCACAGAGTGGCTTCATCATGGATTACCTCCAGGATTAATCTGCAAGCATGCACGGTTGGCTGTCCCACAGCTGTGTGTGGCCGATGACGGCACGAGGAGGAGGAGCCAAGCTGTTGTGGTTGTGTGTGGATCTCCCACAAGCTACCGAGACCCCGTTACTTCAATTAATAAACCGCTAAATTTATAATGTGTCTTGCTCCTTCAGATATTTAACAAATGACACCAAATCAGAGTCAAATCAGAAGAAGCTTGTTTTGGACTTTGATCTTTGTGTCGTAATAAAGTCGTCGAGGTCATCTCATCCACCAGAGCTTGACTTGCTCGATCACTTTGTGTCTGCTAACCAACGAAAAGCCAACTGGTTTTGTGCCAAATACCAAAGAACTTCCATTAAACACTTTATTTAAAGGGATCATCCAACCCAACCACAGAAACCATGTGAATGTAGACACTGTAGGCCTGATTTCAGAGCAGTGACATCCTTGCACTTGATAGGATGATGGAGCAGCATCAAATGCAGGCGCACAAGGAGAGAGAGCGACGGACATCAGGATCAGGTGAGGTTTGAACAAACACACCCACACCCCGCTGTATAAACATTCACCCTCCCTGCCTCACACTCTAACACACACACACACACACACACACATACACACACACACACACCCTCTGTGGACCATTGAAGACTCTGATCCTAGCTACGCAAACATCCCCTACAAAGCTAAACATCCATCCATCAATAACCAGTCTTGGCAGAAGCACATTCATATTTGCTCAGCGTTTTGTTTGATGAGGGAAGTTAACATTACCAGGTCAGGCAAACGGTTGACTTCACCAAATACCAGAAATTCCTTGATGCAACAGACTCCTCCCCCCTCGCCGCTGTGGTTTGTTTTACTTTTTTCTGCCCGGTCTTTATGCCTTTTTATCCATGCACACATATAAATGTTCAAGTCTGCTTTTTAAACACACACAGACTTAAAACATCCTCCCCTGTCCCTGATGTTAAATCAGCGCCACCCCCCCCCCCCCCCCACCCCCCCACCCCCACCCCCGGTCCCATCCCTGCAACATGCTCTACCGCCATCTCTTTCTTCCAGCTACTGTTGGGGAGGGGGGTGTGCCACATGCTTTCTGGTCATGGCTCAGTCATGTTGCATTCTGCTGCTTGTTCTGTTTATGATGTTTTTGATTCTTTCTTATTTGCAGTTGGCTTGTTTTTTGGATTGCTCCTGATTTTTCTCATCGTTACTTGCTTGAATTGTTCAGTTGCTTTTCATTCTTCTCACGTTTTTCTCTTTTCTGTTTTCTTTTGTTTGTTACCCTCCTTCGTCTGCATCTCCTCCTCTCTCTGTCTCCCTCTCCCCTCTCTCTCTCTCTCTCTCTCTCTCTCTCTCTCTCTCTCTCTCTCTCTCTCTCTCTCTCTCTCTGCCCGTCACAGTCGTTTCCACTCTCCAATATAAAGTGTCCAACCCTCCCGTCCACCCAGACACCCCTCCTGAGTACAGACAGTTCAGAGCTAACACTTTGCCACCCTCCTATGTCCGCGTGGCCTCCTCCTCCTCCTCTCCTCCCTCCTCCATGTCTCCCTCTCAGGAGAAAGAGGTGGGGGCTGCTAGGGACAAGGCCCAGCTCTCCTCTCAGCTCTCCACCTCGCTCGCCTCAGCCTTTTCCCCAGTCCAGGCGGGAGTGAACACCCAGGGCCGACAGGTCCGTCAGATACCCCTGTCTCCTCCCACGGCGGTCCGCCACCTTCACCAGCACCAGCAGCAACAAGACATCATGCTCCCCCCTAAACACGGCACCTGGTCTGCCTCCCACTTGCAGCAAATGTACGCCCAGTGCCCCCCATCCTCCTCCCCACCAGTAATGATGGCCATGCCTGTAAAGCAAGTTTTGCCTCCACAACCAGCCCTCCCGGTAGCTCACTCCCTCCCGCCTGTGAGCACTAGGATGAAGCCCCCACCTCTGGATTCAGGCGCTGTGACGGGCCCTCACCAGTACCCCCACCCTCACGCCAACGGACAGCCAGACGATTCCTACTCTCCTCACTCTCAGCATCTTCCACTCACCCCGCAGTACTGCGAGTCCATCCCGCTGCCTCCTCTGATAGGTCAGACAGGCCCCGCCCCCAGCCACCAGCCCCAGAACCAGTCCACCTTTCACCCTCAGCAGCATCAACAGCAGCAACAGCAGGCCCTGACCCCCTCCACCACTTCATCCTCCTCCTCCTCGCCCCCCTCTTACACCGCCGTCTCTGACGGGGGCTCTCCCAAGAAGAGCCCCTCCCCCGTTCCCCAGCAGGCCCCCGTGGCCAGCAGCAGTAAGTATAGAGGAGGAGAGAGGAGGAGGTAGTCTCTCAGCAGAGGGAGGCTACATGTGTTGGGTTTGTACCTATGGTTTGTACACAGGACTGTTTCTAGCTTCTCATGAATGCACCACACCTTCACCGCTCAGCACATAAAGAAATAAATGTGTCACCTGCTGTAAATAAGAACTCACAGGCTGCACACGCCCTCAGTTCTCCCACACCCGGGCTGCAACCCCCATCAGAGATTCAGGGCGAGAACCAGGAAAATGGTCCGGTCGTCTGTCTTAGGCAACATCCGAAAAGTTGTTTGTGAAACTTAAGCTCAGAAAGCCTAGGAAACCTTTTATTGGTTAAACTGGTTTCTCCTGATCTGTAGATTTTCAGCTGAACCAGTTTTGTGTCAGCAGCTTATTTAATCACGGACCGTCTGCTGAAATCGTTTTTCACCTTAATAAGTTTCCACCGTGTTTTTGGTTTCTGTTAAAAAACATAATTTTACATTTTTCATGCCACAAAACAAACTATTTTGTGTTTTAAGAAGGAAGTTCTTCAGCGTAAAACCTAACCTCTACAAAGAAAATAAACTTTATAGAACTGATTAGCTGATTTTTCTTTGTTTTTGCTCATTTAAAGCGCAAATAAAACACTGTTAAAAATCCAACTTGCAATTTGTTTGGAGAATTTAAAGTTTTAAGTCAGTTGAATGTTTTATCTTGCAAAATGTTAAGGTAATACAGAAAAGCAAGCACCTAAAACGTTGACTGAACTTAAAATTGTATTGCAACTGGTTGCTTTACTTTTTTAAGTTCACTGGACTTTTTTTTTTACAGTGAAGTTTTAATGTAAGATTTAAAGTTGTTGTGATACACGTAGCGTTTAAAGCAGCTGCACACAAATCTGATCTGAAATTATTTAGTTGTCTTTTTTGATAAACACTCTAAAAGAAGACAAAGCTGTAGAAAGTTAAAGTCCCGTAGTCACCACACACACATCTCTGCATGTGACCCAACCCGTGGGTGTGCTCAGGAACTGATTGGTGGTTTAACCCCCCAATCCAGTGCTGAGTGTCGAGCAGGATTTGAACCCTGATTTTCCGGTCCCAAGGCAGACAATCTACCTCTAGGCCAAGGTTGATAAAGAAAAATCACCTCTAAACACATTTAGGTGATTTACAAGATAAAAGTTCTGAGAAATCAGACAGAAGTAGCTTTTTTTGTATTTTAGGTTTGTTTTTTAAATTTTTTAATCACAATTCTTAGCAAATTGAAACAAAAATGTACAAAAAAAAAAAAAAAGGACAAGAGCTTGCAGGGACAGGAGGCATGCACTAAATAAAACCTTTTTCACATCAGTTTTATTTATTTTTTTTTTTTGTAAAACCTAAGAAAAAAGTTAATTATGTTATTTTTACTTGTAACAAACTGCAGTTTTCTATTCAAGCTGCATCTCTTACTGTGATTCCCAGTGTCCTGCAGTTCTTAATTATGTGTTAAGTATTTAATATATTTAGATTGAATTTGATTTAAGTCATCACACAACCTTCCAAGAAATACAAATGATGCAACTCAACCCACCGACCCAGTAACAGAGCTCTAACGCGGCCCGTCCCAGGCGGTCCTGTTTCTGCAGGTCACCCATCTGTGCTTTCTGTGGCCCCTCCTCCAGCTGCAGCCCCAGCTCCCATGGCTGGTCCTCCAGCTCCACCACCTCCGCCGGGACCACCGCCCCCGATGGCAGTTCCTCCACCCATGCCCCCTCCCCTGCCCACTGGAGGTGGGCCTCCTGGAGGCCCACCTGGTGTGCAGCCCTCAGGACTGGCTGCTGCTCTGGCTGGAGCCAAGCTACGTAAAGTTCACAGGGTGAGCAGCTGATCCAGTCTCTGGTCCATTTGGCTGCTCAGTTCAAACCCGAGTCACTCTGTTCTGCAGGACGAGAGCAGCCCTCCCGGGTCTGGAGGGAAAAGTGACTCCAACCGGTCGAGTGGGGGGAGCGGCGGAGGTGGGGAGGGACTGATGCAGGAGATGAATGCCTTGCTAGCTCGCAGGTAAAAAACATTTACATGTGTGCACGCTCACACACGCACACACACATGCATGCACAACTATTAAGTTGGTGAAAGATAAATCTGTTTGAATACAATGCTTCCTGGTTCTATTATTTATCTGAAAAGGCAAAGAGTTGTCTATTAATATTTGATCCACCTCTCCTAAACTCTTCTTATTTTCTTCTCTTCTTCAGACGGAAAGCTTCAGAGAAACCTGATGAAGTAAGTTCTGCCTTTTTACAGAGGACATAAATGCATAAATCTCTTCATTTACCGCGGGGTTTTTTTTTGTGTGTGTGTTTGTCAATGTGTGGAAATATTAAAATTAGTAAAATGAGTTTTCTTCATCGTATAAATCAAGGTGACTGTTTTGCAGGATGATTCGAGTGGTCGGGGAGCTGGACAACAGAACTCAACAGGTACACGATTTTAATGCATCTCAGTTGGTGCATGGAGACCTGCGTAAATCTTCACAGGGCTCCTATATAATAGTAAAAATAAAACCAAATTTGATAAATAAAGTTGTAGGGCATTTGTCTTTCTCTAACATAGAAAGTACTACAACTAGCTAAACTGGTTATTGTTTAGTGTATCTGCTTCTTCTTCTCAAACCCCAGCGAGTCGTGTCAGATGGCTGCTCCTACTGATCCAGGTTCCGTTGGACGTTTCTCCCTGTTAAAGGAGAGTTTTCCTCTCCACTGTCGCTACGTGCTTTCTTAGTATGGAGACACAACAAGTCAGTGATTTGATGCGATCTGCTAAGTCTCCTTACATCTGTTGGGTTTCCATACATGAATTGGCGTGATATAAATAAACAGAACTGAATCATATTGTAACAAAAATCAGTTTTCCAAAAGGTTCAGTCGTGTTTCTCAGATTAAAAAAACTGTTTACCTTTCCTATAAAAAGTGTAAATAAAGAAACTAAACTTTTTTTTTCTACTGTTGCACCATTGAGGGAAATAGTTGTGAATTCATAAAGGATTTTAAAGGCTCCAGAACATGCTTTTTCTTTCTTTTTTCTTTTTTTTTCTTTTTTTTTTTTTTTTACCAATGGCACTGTTGAGATGTCATTTATCTTAAATACAAGTTTTCATCAGCCTGAATTATTAATGAAACGGTTTGTTTCAGTGAAGCTCCGCCCTCCTACAAAACGCATCTACAACAACATCTTAGGCCAGCCTGCTGTTGCATTGGCCTTGGTAGTCCAATGGTAAGTGACCAGTCTGGCACTCAAACCACTGGACTACCAAGTCTGCTACATGACCCCAGCCACCTAAGTTGCATATCCTGTGCTGGCCAGGAGAGGCAGCTTTCGGGAGAGGAGCTAGCAGGGACTAGTTTCCACTGACACTTTTTTAGGATTTTCAAAATAAAACTCAAATTTTGAAACAGGAAAATTCTTGAATGTAGCCAAATACAGGGTTTATTTTTTGTTTGTTTGTTTGTTTTTGTTTTTTTCCATGGTAAAAAGCTCCAAAAATGTGGATTTTCCATGATTTCCCTTTAAGTAGAAACTTGTTCAAACATAACAGACGTGGCCATCTGATGGCTTAGCTGCTCTTTCAAAGCATAGATTTAGCTAAATTTTGCTTTTTAAAACAAAAAGTAACCACATTTTATTGAAAATTAAAGCAGACAAGTGATGACTGAAAGCAGTTTGGGCAGCTGTAGTAGTCTGAAAGTGCAGCTTTTCTTTAAATTTTCATTTTTTTAAAATAAAATTCATGTTTATTTGACTAATTAAAGATTTTAAATTGACTTTAGCCGTGAAACTGAAATCTATGGGCACGTTAACATATTTTCTCTTCAGTCTATTTTAATTTCAGTAAATAAAACCGTTGCCAGTTTACATTTCATAGTAGAACGCGCTTATCTTGCTTATCACAGCAACAAGCAGGCACATTGTTGTCCACCTCTGTCTTTGATCTAATCAGCTGGAGCTGCTCATGACTCCAGCTGTGTGTCACAGTCCAAATATGTGCCTGATCTGCCTGTAAGACCACATGCTGCTGCATGCAGTCACTGTGACAAAACATTTTCAGTGTGTTAACATGCAAATATTTAATTATTCTCTTCATGTTGGCGTTTGTTTAATTGAATATGTTTTTTTTTGTGATCTAGATGCTGTGAAGAAGCCGTGGGAACGATCCAACTCTGCAGACAAGTCCTCACTGGTGTCCAGGTGTGCAAAAGAAATGTTTTAAAATAAAATAGTTAGCAACTTAACTAATAAATTTATGCAGCGTTTCTGGTGCTGTCTGCAATAAAATGCCCTATAGCAGAAAAATAAGTTGAGTAAAGTAGAAGAAACTTTGTGTGTTTTAATGTGGAACTAATTTGTTTTCCTTTAGAGTGAGACCGATCGGCAGCACCAGTGAATCCGACACAGAATTTGACAGAATGAAGCAGGTCAGTTCATTTATTTTATCACCTAATTAAGATTAGATTGTTTATTTCTCCCGGCTGAGTTTACTTAACATTAACTATGTTATTCTTGGCTTTTGCGGTGCAGGAAATTTTAGATGAAGTCGTACGCGAGTTGCACAAGGTCAAAGATGAAATCATTAACGGTAAGCAATGCTTTCCATGCGCCGACAGCCTGTTCTTCCACTTTTTTAAAAAGCTGTTTTCCATTTTTTCTCGCAGCCATTAGACACGAAATCGGCAGAATCAGTACATCCTAATCTCATCTGAGCGTGCAGATGAAGGAGCTGGTGGAGGACGGAAACGCGGATGCACAGACGCGAGGACCGGGGAATGTTCTCTCAACGTTTCTGTGACCCTCGCGATGCCACAAGTTGCAGAGACGTTGTGCCAACATTTAAGTCTGCAGGACAGCACAAACGAGAGCGCAGGGCTTTGTGGGAAAGCAGGAGCGATGAACTAGAGGATGAACTAAAAGTGGATATGAACAGGCATTTATACTGAGTTCGGTGTCGTGGTCCTCTCTGTGCACCTAGACTCAGTCAGCCCAGTGTTGCAGCTTTTTGTTCTCTGTTAAGTCCACGTCTTAAGAAGAAAATATTTTGGTTTTCTAAGTTTTTACTGTTTTATTATTTAAAAACTGTGGTGATAATAATGATAACGCTGTTGGTGAGTATTTTATTGATATTAGAGAAGGACAAAGGAATCTTGCACACTTTTAATGTCATCCTTTTATATTTTCTATTAATGCTTTTTTGAGTTGATCCCTGTTTCATGGTAACAAGCACAACAGGGGCACACTGGTGCAGCAGACCCACCTGCCCTCAAAAGGCTTTTTTCAGAACTTTTTTCTAATCATCCTGGTGTTTTACGTCTGACAAATGGGCCATTCCTTTCTGTACCGGGTCGGCCCAGGCCGGGTAGCCCCAGTCGGCCCCAGCCTGGCCCGGTTGATTCCACACATCCTTGTCTTAAGCCCATGTGGGCTGATTCTACCCACCAATCAGAGGCTTGCTCTAATGGAAGGTGTGAATTTGCTGTCAGCAGTGGGTGTGTTGGCCCTGGTCGGCCTGAAGCAGACCCCCTCGAGAAGAGGGCTGAGAATGAGCCTTGGTTGGCCCGGAAAAATACCATGCCACCCAGATATGTAAACAACCTACGCTACCCGGCCCGGGCCGACCCGGTACAGATGGGAATGGCCCATTATTCTCTCCGGAGAAGATAGAAAACCACGAGCTTCAGTTGCCTCTTACCCCTATCATCCAAGGCAAAGAGCATCTCTCTACTCACTGAAATATGTCAGGTTATGGAAATTTGGGGTTCATTCAGAAAACAAGCTAAAAACTGTAAACGTGCCACCTGGTTTTACCTTCATATGGAACAATGTATTATCTATTAGTCATCCTATGCTTTGTGAACCTCTCAAGTATGCATGAAACCCCTGTCTCTATGAATTTGTTTTCTATTTGGTTCAAAACAATTAAAAACTGAAATAAAAATATATAAATGGTGGTACATTTATTAAAGTGGTTTGTTTCTGTAAGGTTTTTACTTGTGAGATGTTGATTTTAATCATGTCGGAAAGCAAAACTGGGGCCTCATTCCAGATTTCTCCTGTTTTTGCCTTTTTCTGCCATATCTGAGGAAATGACAAAAAACTGATTTTAAAGGGATTAAGGGAAAGAAGCTATTCAAACCAACATGGCTCCTTTAGAAAAAATAACCCTTCCTGTGTTAAATCACAAATGAACTGATTAATCAGAGCAGAATTCTGTTCCACTTGCCACACCCAGTCCTAATTACTGCCTGACTTAAAGTGACAATGTGTAGTTTTTACTGTTAATCTCTGGAAATGTCCATCAAAATGTTGAAAATTAATTAATGATGCCCGGTGGTTGATAAATATTGGCGGCTTCATAACATCTAATCATAAAAATCTGGTCTAAAATACATGGGAGTGGTTCCAAGTCTCTGGGCGACGCCATAATGGACACTGTGTTTCTTTCTACGGGAGCCTGTGAGGATAAAATGCATTTATTGATTTGTAAACAAACATTGATAAACATTGTTTTACACTTTTACCTCTTCACTTGCTGCCAGTGATGAGAGTCTGGTGTGCTTATTTAGCTGAAAGTTGCACTCCCATTGATTTTTCACCCTAATGGCCATCCGTTGGTAAGGTCTTACTCAAACACAAAAACTGCTTGCTTGCAGTGATTTAGGTATGTACTGCCCCCTATTGCCAGAGAAAATACCCATCGTCACTTTAACAAATTATTTTAATATAACCTGTTTGACGACATGAAGTAGGCTAAAGGATCTCAAAAAGCAACAGTCTGAAATATAAGAACAGAACCCAGGACAATTAAATACTGCAGGCTTCACAGGTTAAGGTCAAAGGTCAGAAAGAAATAGGGGGACAGATACCGCATCTGTGGGAAAGTTCCAAGGCCAATTTCCTAAAACTCATCTCACATTTACTCAGAAATCTTAATGAAAACTTAAGCGAAAATATTCAACCAACTGATAAGGTGGAACCTTTGGAAGGTCTGGTGTAACAACAGAGAACATCCTACAGCAGACAGACACAGTGGTGGTAGCGGCATGGTCTGGGGATGCTTTGCTGCTTCAGAACCTGGACGACTTGTAACTGATGATGGAACTATGAATTCTGTTTAGCGGAAAATCACAAAGGACAATGTCTGACCTTTGACCTTAAACAGGTCCTGCGTGCTGAAACCCTCTGATGTCGCTGAATTAAAACCTTTCTGTAAAGTAGAACAAAATTAATCCACAATGAAATGAGGCTTTTTACCAGTTACCAAACAGGCTTGAAGTAGATGTCAAGCTTATCATAACCAGTTACTGTTTCACATGGGGCCAGTTTGGTTTGGATAACTTTATCCCCTTAACTAAATCATTTGAAATCTGAATTTTGGATTTACTCATTTTTAAAATGGTAAATTTCACAGCAATCTATAATCATACTGATTTTTGTGACTATGGGTAAATTTGTCTTTGTAGGAAGGATTTGGACAAATCAGTTGTTCTTTTCTCTCTGTACTTAGCTAAATTCTGATTGACAGCTGGAAGTAAATTTTATCAAAGACAACATGTCAAACATCTTAGCTATTTTCTAGAAAGTGCAAGGACTCAGATAGGATTAAGAAAACTACATTAGTAGATTAAACCGTGGCTTCCGTGAACTGGTGAGCATAGGTCAGAAATGGAGTCCTCTCCTTTCTATGATAACATCTCTTTTGCTCTCTCTCCAGCGACGGTGGATCGGGTGACGTTCGACGGTCCGACCGTGGTTCGCGTAGGTGTGGTGAACAGAGTGCTGCGTGAGCTGTCGTCGGATCCCGACCTTCAGTTTCGACCAGTGTCTTACTCCTGGTCCTCCGCTGACTCTGTGGTGATATTCATTATAGGCATAAACATCTGCTTAACCTGTACTATGTTCGTTTTACAACACCGTCGGTTCTTTGCCGAATTGAAACTTCTGGACACATCGATCGGTGATGTTAATGGACGCCTGGCTCAGGCTTTGGCACCGCGTCGTGAAACACCGGCTGCCCAAGCGACTGCACCGGGGCCGGTGAGTTCCTCTCCTCCTCCTCCTCCTCCGACAACCGAGACGTAGAAGGTGGAGGATCCCGGTTGCCAGACTCGGTGGTTCCACAATTTCTATCTCAGGTTACACAAATTTGTTTGTTTGTGAGTGTGCATGGTTGTCTTTCATGTTATACGTCACGTGCAGACTTAGAGTGTGTTGAGACGGACATGCTGGCTACACAAGGCATTCATTCCTACTCAAGACCACTGCAAATGTATTGATTAAACGAGTGATCCACACCTTTAAGGTCTGATACATAAAACAAAATGGGTAGCAGTATTACCAATTGAAAATTCTCCTGTAGTATGTAAATCCTCCAGCAGAGGGCAGAAGACGTGTGATCCAGACAGGTGTTGGAGGAATGTACTAATCACGTTAAGGAAGGAGAGCAGTTTGAAATAAAGGATTTATTTCTGACTCAGCTCAGTGAACAAGAGGTCCCACTTAAAACAGATGATGAAGAGGAGAATGTTTTTATTTACAAGTGCTGAATTGCTCCTGGGCGTTGACATTGTAATCTCCATGACCTGATATAGGTGCGTCTTTCATTCCTGCCAAACAACAGGTGCAACAATTCAGACATTTAATAAACATCTAAACTAAAAAGTGGGCTCCAGCAACAGAGACTCAAATATTTATGGGTGTTTTTTACGTAATGCAAAAATATTTTTTATTCCTGAGGACTTTTTAAGTGTTCTAGCAGCTACAGGGGTGTTTAAAATGATTTGCAGCACGAGGGGCTCTGGACACGCAGAACAGGGCGTCACAGAAGAAAAAGGCTCCTCTTAATTTAAAATAAGCTTCATTGCATTTTCCTCCTCAGAGCTGTTCAGCGTGATGAATGTGAAACTCCATTAAGTAATCGGAAACATCATCTGATTCTCACATTGGGAGTTTTTAATGACTTGGCCTGACGTCAGTGACATCTCATGATAATGTGTGTGACCTCTTACTCTTCACTGCTGTGGAAATGTTAAGATTTTTGTTGTTTTTTCTGCCCATGAACGAGCTTCGATAATACAACCAATGAATCACAGCGATGGGTCAGTGTTTGTTTAGAGCAGGCACACAAGCACGAAGGACAGCTTTAAGATGCCATAGAATCGTGTACGTTTGGATCCATCATGAAAGGTGAAAAGTGTTGGTGTCAACATCACAGCATGTAGTCATTTAGAAGACATTTGACATTTTAGTGTTTGAGGGATGCTTTAACAGCTGTAATTCACTTTTCTGTACAAATACGATCACAGGCTCATTCCTGCTTGCTCAGCTTGTACTCCCGTTTGATCCGAGCGTACGGACCGATGCTGTCATCAAACACAAAGTCCCATAGTACCCGGCTCCAGGAGGTGTGCTGGGGCAGGGTGTCATAATACTCTGCTGCAATCTTTTTGACCTAAAAGTCCCAAAGAAATGAGGTTAGAGATCACACCTATCAACTGTAAGTCAGGGTCAAGGAAAACAAATATCTTCCCTACAATGTCATTTAAAAGGCCTTGCTGTTATGATAAACATGGTTCATGTTGTTGGGTCTCTGGAAGATAAGAACATTTTCTGTCTGCTCTGTCACTAAAAACAACCGTTTTCATTCTAATTGGCTAAATTCTTGGAAAAAGTAATGACTGAAGTCCAAAGTTTAGACGTTCGTTACGATTTCTGGCACAAGCACTCACCTGAGGAAGTTTACTCCCAGGTATGCTGGGGAAGTCATGGTGCTCCATGTGGTACCCGACGTTGAAGGTGATGCAGTTCAGTGGTCCATAGTAGGAATACGTCTCGTGTCCTTTCAGAAACATGTAGTGCTCTGCTATGAAATGGCCGGATAAGGGATGTAGTCCCATGCACAAAATAGATCCAGCAATGAGGTAAACAACTGGCTTCAGCCCCCAGTAATAGAATAGAATCGCATCTGCTGTGAGCTGAACTAAGGTATTCTGGATTTCCAGCAGGCCGACTGGTTTTGGGTTGACCACCAGTGGTCGTAGGGCATAGAAGAGGGGCTGGAGAAACAGCCAGAGGACCTTCCTTGCAGGTGAGTTAAAGAACCATCCCTCAAAGTCCGTAGGGATGTCCACATCCAGCTTGTCATCGCCCAGATACCGGTGGTGATCGGTGTGGTACTTCTTGAAAGCAGCGGAGTAAGGCAACCCGATGGGCAAGTTGGCCCACATGGCAAACCAGCGGTTCCACTTCGCCAGCTTGTTCCCAAACGCCACATTGTGGGAGATGTCGTGAATGGCCAGAGTCAGGGAATGGTTAATGCAGCCTCCAAAAGCGTAAGCCCAGAAGAAAACCCACTTCCAGGAAAGATTGTGGACCAGATAGCAAGCCAGAAGCTGAGTAAGGACCATGCCGGATACCACCCACTTCAGCTGGGGATCTGGACCCATCAGGGACTTGATCTCTGGATACTTGGCTGGAATGAGAAAGACGGGGAAAGGTTGGATAAGCAACACCAGAGCCTGGGGAAGAAGAAAGTCCATCTGGGTGTACATTGTGCTGACTCTGGACATGGCACTCCTGAGAATTTAAAGGAACACCAAATATTTGTAATGACAGCCTTAGAGACAGCTCCTCCTTAAGAATAATTTACCAACTTTTTCAAGATCTCAAGAAACACCATGGGACACCTGTTACGGTACCCTGTCTTCTCCTGGGAAGAGCCTGCTGACAAAAGTCAAGTTTAATTGGCAGAGGTGTTGTTTTACAGATGATTACAAAGCAACAGCTTGGATTGCTTCATGAGATATAATCTCATTAGGACAAACGTGTTCCGATTTGTCCCCATGACCACACCTGCCTTACACAGATTACAAAAAAAAAACGCATTGGATACAAGGGAGTCAGACAAAAGTCAGGTTTGCAGGGGAGGTGCTGATGGCAGCAGGTGGGAGAGCATCCATTGACAGATTAGAAAAATGGCTGCAATACGTAATAAAACAAAAGGCCCATGCAAATCTGGACAGCCACTTTGTTTACAGCTTTATCGGTTAATGCACCTAAGCAAATTCAGTTTGCATTGGTAATAGAGGGCTGAAAGGCAACATTTCTGCAGCTTAATGCCTCCTCTTTAAAGACCAATCCCTCATTTTTTGGGTTAATGTTTAGCTAGGTAGAGTTCAAACTCTTTTTACAGCTGCAAATTCCAAACCGCATTTACAATTTGCAATGTATTGTATTCATTGTTTTATTCTACTGTACGATATAAACGTATCACTAAATGCTATTTGCATTAAACACGTTTTTGAACATTTTGAACAGTTGGCTCAACCCACGTGAGAGGCATAAAGTTAAATGAATAACCAGGTCCCATAAAAGGCCATTTAAGCTGCTTAATGACTCTGTGCTAATGTACAATGCAACCATTATTGGATTTCATCTTCACCATGTTAGAGGAGTAACCTTTCACTCAACTACCTGTTATAATTTATGAGGTGTCAGACTCAGATTTCATCTGAAAATATGTTGATGCTTTAACAGAAAAAATAATATTGCTTTATTTTGAGATTTGATGAAAAATTCAATAGTTGGTAGAAATGTAAAAATATCGCCAGCGTGACTGTAATGTTACAGCTTCAGTCGGACGATTTAAAGTGTATTATCTGAGAATAAAGATGTGAATCCACTCAAAAAAAAACTAAATATCTTGACTTTTTCCTTTGGGAACGACCCGGAATCATCAAAACAAAAGACATATTCATAATTAATGACTCTAAGGTGTCAAAAAACAAACACACAGCAGATCAGATTTACATCAGCATGTCACCATCTTGAACTCTTTTCCATTTTTAACAAGAAATCAAATTAAATCAGAAATTTGTCCGTTTTTTTTCTGACAATTCAAAAATAATCCCAGTCTCTTTAAACCTCACAGTAAAGTGTCTAAAACCTAAACTTACACTCATGAAACTTTCTACTGAAATCTAAATTCTGATTTAAGGACAGACCATGAATGAACACATTCTTTTGATATCCAATTAACTTTAACTTCGATGAAAAAGGACTGCGACTATTTTCACCTTCTTTCTTTGAAGGGCTTATTTTTTACTAAACAAACGTCACTATATGTAAATATAGTTACAATATGGCGTGTCATTGGTGGCAGCACGAAGTAACCTTGAAAATTTTTAATTGATTTAGACTCCAAACAGTGTGACTTACACTTATTTTTATTTAAATGTATGTCTTATTGGGTTTAAATTGTTTTACGTTGTTTATGACCAAGCTGAAGCTGTTTCCATTTCTGAAACCCTGAGCATGTTTAATCTGCTATTATAGAAAAAAACACCTAAACTCTTCAAACCTGGGCTAGATTATTTTAAATAGAGTCCATTAAACATGGTTTGTGATTTTTGAAATTTTTCTTTTTAAAAAAAATTAATAATTTATTTGAATCTGGACTCCATTTGAACTAGTCCAGCTCCCAACACTACTCTTCAAACCTGGATTTATTCTAGACTAATAGCCTTTAATTCCATAAAACATAGTTTGTGATTCATGAAATCTTTATTTGATTTTTGCATCTGGATTTTTGCATCATCTATTTTTTATACGTAAAAAATCAAACTGAGTCTGTAAAGTCGAGAATAAACCAGCCCATGTTGTTGGTGTTGTAGTTTTATAATAGGAGCAGTTTAAAGATGCTCAGGAGTGGGCACTTTGGATGGACTTGTCCATTCCTAAATGGAAACCAGGAATGAGAACCAACTTCAGTTTGGCGTGTTGTGTTTAGATTATTTAAGTCATTTAGAAGGAAAAACACCTTTCAAATTATATTTATCTATGCAACACATTATTGTTGGACTGAGAGCCCGTTAGGCAACAGCTAGTAAACAGGTTCAACCGGATATTTTTTATAGTCTACACTCACAAACACAGAAAATGTTTTTGCCAGAACGAAAACCGCACATTCACGCATGGCACTAAGAAATAAAACTTGCGTAGTCTTACCCAAAATTTCCTTCCTTCTGGAAGTGTGGGGCTGGTCTGTGTAGACCCATTCAAAGTCCACCCTTCCACCTGTCTTCTCCATTGTTCTCCTCTAAGCGCCTGGAGCAACTGCTGCTGGAAAGTTGCTTGTCATCAAACCTTGGTAGTATCGGTGCACACCCACTGGGCCCAGGTTGCCGAAAGAGTCTACCTCATTTAAGCGCCGGCGCAGGGTGGAGACATACCGAACGGTGCATCCTCCCAACCGGACAGAAACACAGCGGTGTTTGGGGAGGTCAGCCGTTAGTTTTAGCTGCTGTTAAATCACCAAGTAAACCAACTGAACCCCTGCCATATTTTCACTTTTTTCATGAGATTTAAAAAAAATAAAATTTCTTCTCAGCATTTTTGTGCGCCAGGAGCATCAAAAGGAGCGGACTCCCTCAGAAGGTGTAAGGCGTGAACTAAAGCCCCTCCTATGAGATAAAGGAAGGAGGGAGAAAGTGAGATACACCTGTTGAAATTAGTTTAACCGTCTGTTGTGGTTTTTTCCCAGAGTTTTATCAAATTTAAAAAGCACTCCTGTTGGAAATGTTGCGGGAAATAGTTTATTTCAGAATTTAAATATTAACCAGAGGGGTTTTGACTCTTACATAAAGCGTGATGATTTCGTTAGAACATGTTTGATTACAATAAGTCCCTACTTGTTTGCTAAGACTGCTTCTTTTCTTGGAGTCTTTTCATGGAGTCTCTTCTCGGTCATTATCTGATATATTTAATTGTTAATTTCTGTATCATTTATGTGACTGAGAAATGTAACATCAGGAAGATTTTAAATGACGCAAATAATCATAACTTACACATTTTGGTAAACAATTTAAAATTTTCATTGAAACGATTGTTTTTAGTTAATGCTCTCCTAGGAATTATGCATATCTGTTTAAATAAATGTAACTTTTGACACATTATCACATGTCACAAATATGCAATTTCTTCACAACGTCTTTATGAATCTATGAAAAATACAAAACACAAAATTCTGACAGAAATAAACATGTTAATGGTTAATCTAAAAAAAATTCATCTAAAATCATTCAAACGGGAATTGGTTCAAATCACGCGAGACTTCAAAACTGGAGCAGAGTGGCGACGAGATTTCCGTTGTGAAGCGTTGTTGTCGACGAGGGAGGAGGTAGGCTGAGAGTAGGTTGGAGCAAAGTGTGAAAAAAAAACTTTAAAATAGGTTGAAGGAAAAATAAATACAGCCATGGCGTCGGGGGACACCCTGTATATCGCAGCGGACGGGTGCGAGATGCCAGCCGAAATAGTCGAACTGCACGAAATTGAAGTGGAAACAATCGAGACCACAGTCGTCGAAGATGACGATGAACACCAACCCATGATCGCCCTGCAGCCTCTGGACACGGATGATCCCCACTCGATCCACTCGCACCAGGAGGTGATTTTGGTGCAAACAAGAGAAGAGGTTGTGGGCGAGGATGACTCCGAGCTGCACACGGACGATGGCTTCGAGGATCAAATCCTTATCCCGGTGCCTGCCGTGGAGGAGGACTATATCGAACAGACTCTGGTTTCTGTTGGTAGAAGCTCGTCAACAGGCCGGATGAAGAAAAGTGGAAGCGGGAAAAAAGCGGGCAAAAAGAGCTACATAACCGGGGGTGACATGGGCCGAAAATGGGAACAGAAACAGGTCCAGATAAAGACTCTGGAGGGGGAATTTTCAGTGACTATGTGGGCATCGGGTAAGTTCACAGCCCTGTCTGTGGCTTTGTTTTGTGTGTGGTGCGACTGGGCCCCGGCTGGCGCCTTGTCCTCCGCTAAAGTAGGACCGTTTCCCCTGCTCCGAGCAACTTAAACTACATTTGAAATGTTTTTGTTTTTATTAGAAGCCATGTTTTATGTGTCAGTGGGCGCCGCCATATTTACCCGGTCTAGAAAGTATGGCGGCCCGAAAAAATGGCGTTTATTTGGCCGACGAACATGGCGGCGGCGACGGTGGGAGCGAAGCGCTGACAGCTTCGCTGGGCCGCTGTGGCGCAGTATTCATTTAGCCATAGAGGCAGAGGTGCTGCCTTCAGTGGCCCCTCGGACTTTACGCCTTTATGGTGTTTTTATTCATAAACACTTAATTAACAGCTTCTGAATCCAATCTTTTTTATTCTACTGTAAAATAAGGACATGCAGCTGTAAAAATATAGTGGCTTGAAATCCGATTGTTAAAAATCCGGATTTTGTTTGTGCTATTTTAATTTGTGCACCAAGGTTCATGAATGCACCACCCATTAATTCAATCAAATTGTAAAGAAATCGAATGTTTTTATATTGATTGTTTTTCTCCTCACATCAATTAGTAATTTACCCTCAAGAATTTACAATAGACCGCATTATGGTCAATTAATTCAACCCCAAAGTTAATATGAATTTGAATATTATTGATAGATTTATATCTTGCATGATATAAGTTTTGGCATAAATAAACAGTTTATTTCATTATCTTCATTATATTTGCTACATTTAAAATTAATTTAAATAAAACATTTGTAATTGAATGTAAAAATACTGTGGGGAAAATGTTTCTTTTTACAATCAGAAATAAAAATTGTTGATGTCTTAAACCATCCCACTTCCATTCAGATGACAAGAAGGATATCGATCACGAAGAACAGATAACAGGAGAGAATTCTCCTCCGGATTATTCTGAATACATGACTGGAAAGAAGCTTCCTCCAGGAGGCATCCCAGGCATCGACCTGTCAGATCCCAAACAGCTGGCAGAGTTTGCGCGGTAAGAAGTCGACTCAAAAGACATCTAGGGTGTTTAAAGTTAAAAGGATCCCTAAAGTGACTGCTTTTTCCTTCATTGCTGCAGAATGAAGCCGAGGAAGATAAAAGAGGACGATGCACCTAGGACGATAGCCTGTCCACACAAGGTGAGTTTAATACTAAATCTGCACAAATGCCTTGTTCCCAGTTGCAAACAGGAGTTTGAGTCACGTTTCCCAATTATTATTACAAGGCAGTGTGCTAAATGACCCCATGTTTACTTTGTTTTTCTCTCCTTTTAAGGGATGCACTAAAATGTTCAGGGACAACTCAGCTATGAGAAAACACTTGCACACTCACGGACCTCGTGTGCACGTCTGCGCGGAGTGTGGCAAAGCATTTGTGGAGAGTTCAAAACTGAAGAGGCATCAGCTCGTGCACACAGGAGAGAAACCGTTCCAGGTGGGATGCTAATGTGCTTCTGTTCATCGTTATTATCAAACATTTATGCGTCAACTGTATTTAGAGTATTTCACAAACCACTTTCCTTTCATTTTTATTTCCAGTGTACATTTGAGGGATGTGGCAAGCGCTTCTCCTTGGACTTTAACTTACGCACGCATGTGCGTATTCACACTGGAGACCGGCCCTATGTGTGCCCCTTTGATGGCTGCAACAAAAAATTTGCCCAGTCCACCAATCTCAAATCTCACATACTCACACACGCCAAAGCCAAAAACAACCAGTGACTTCTTTGTGAATGAACCAGGCTTCAAACAAGAACTGGTATGGGGTCGTGACCCCCGTCATTAGTTATACACAGACTGAATTATGGTCCTTGGCCTGCTTTGTTGTGAGAAATGCCCCCTTTGTGTTGCTTTTAGGTCAGAAGGTTCATACATAAAAATAATAAAAATACAGTTTTGTGTGCGGTTTTTGAGAAAGACCCTGTGACCGCCCGACTCTGCTCTGGCTGTCTCCCCTCTTCGGCTCGACCTGGAAGGAACTTTTCTATCGTGTCTTCTCAAGAAGACATTTATCCATGATTCTGCACTTGAGAACTTATTTATACCTTTACACAACCACTTTTTTATTTTTATTTTTTTGCAGTATTGGTTGAAATGGGCTTTTATCCTCAGAAACCGTTTTGATTTTGTAACCTTCCCCCGTCAAGTGTGCATATTGTACACAGTTTAATATAAACCTTGTGATGTATGCGTGAAGACTTTTGTAGAATTGGTTTCTTTCATAGTTACCATTTTTTGAGAAGATCAGAAGTTTTTTGCATACTTTCCTTTTCTACAACAATTTCAGATGTAGATGGTAGCCATGATGATTTTTTTTTTTTTGCATTTTTTTCCTTTCATTAGTGATCACTGATTAAAATGTTTTTCCTCCATTGCAATGCAAGACACAAAACATGTGATTTATCGTCTTACATGTCATGAAAACTGATTTGAAGTCATTGTAATTTGTCCTTTTAGCTCCTGGAGCTGCTCTAAATGCGGTGAATAAAGCAACTCAGGTTAACACAATTTAGTTCAGTGTAGTCTCAAACATACTTCATAAAGTTATTTTATTGGCAAGTTTCATGTTAATTCAGATTTATTTTTTACACTTGGAAAAAGGTTGCCGTTGTTGGCAGGTAAAAGGTGTCATCCTAAAGCTGGTGTGTGTGTGTTTGTGGATATATGAGTCGCCACGTGCAGACGAGAAACAGCAATGCATGTCAGAATTTGCTTAGCAAATCAAGTTCATGCCATTTACCTGCAGGCTTAATTTTTTTTTTTTCGTATTCAGGTCCTCGGGAAAAATTTTAAACCTGTAGATCATTTTTTCTACTTGTTTAAAATAGTAACACACACATATATACATACATACATACGTTATATGTGTATACATATGTGTGTGTGTATATATATATATATACACACACACACGTATATACATACGTTATGTGTATGTCTGTATACGTATGTGTGTGTGTGTATATATATATATATATATACACACATACATACGTTATGTGTATGTATACGTGTGTGTATATATATATATATACACACATACATACGTTATGTGTATGTATACGTATGTGTGTGTGTATATACACACATACATACGTTGTGTATGTATACGTATGTGTGTGTGTATACATATACACACACACATACATATAGACATACATATAACATATGTATATATATGTATGTGTGTATATATATATATATATACACACATACATACGTTATGTGTATGTATACGTATGTGTGTGTGTATATACACACATACATACGTTGTGTATGTATACGTATGTGTGTGTGTATACATATACACACACACATACATATAGACATACATATAACATATGTATATATATGTGTGTGTGTATATATATATATATATACACACATACATACGTTGTGTATGTATACGTGTGTGTATATATATATATACACACACATACGTATACAGACATACACATATGACGTATGTATATATGTGTGTGTGTATTTTTTTTTTTTCTGTTTTAAAAAGAAATGCACTTTGTGCCTCACTAATAATTTTAAACATTTGCTTTAGGACAAATTTTGTGCATTTGAAGTTTGATTAATCAAGAATTATAAGAGCCTCTAATTAATTAGAATAATTTTATAATTGACTTCCACCCCTAATATATACATATATAAAATATATAGTGACACAAAAACACGCAGCCTCTCACACCAAACACATCAGATTTTTGACTTTGCAAAAACAAACAGGTGCAACAACAGCAGGTAAAACTGCTGCATAATTTTAAATGTCTTCTTAGTTTATGAGCAGATAAAACCAAAACTATGTTATAGGAAGTTCCTGTTTTGTTGAGAGTACATGAATGTCACCAGAGCTGCATGCAGATCTGTTATAAATGAACATTTGTTCCAAGCTCATCCTGATAAAACATTTAATAGAAAAAGAAACAAAACCCCTAAAACATTCTCATTAACTACATCCAGTATAGTGTTCATTTATAATCCAGTTCTCATTAAAGGATCCATTGCATAGTACTATCCCGTTCCCAAAAATCTAAACACGAAAATTTAAAGCCTCAGATTTCTGTTTATGCTCACTTTTCTGTAGATTCAGGAGAAAATTCAGTGCAGTAAAAAAAAAAGATTTTTCAGTGATGATTAAAGGGATTGGGAGAACCTGGAGTGGGTTTCGGAGGTGAACAAAGCAGCAATCATCCAGAGTTTTTCTAGTGCCACTTGTCTCATCTTTTGGCACCAAGAACCTGATCAAAAGTTAAAATTTGCACATAGTAGCTGCTCTCAGAGCACACACTAGAGTTCCGGTCGCTCATTCAGGAGTGCCTGCAGCAGTGCGGGGTAGTTAGGAGTTCCCCAGCCTGTAACCGGGTCCCACGACGGTGCAGAACAGAAACCCTTCCCCTGAACCTGCTCATCCAGACAGGCCTGTTGACACCCTTCAGTCACCTAAAGAACACAAGAATGAACGTCACTTAGGGGGCAGAAGACAAACTGAGCTGCATCATGGATCGTTTTACATTTTAGACAGTCCGTAGGGAATAATGGGGAGTGTGTCTGCGGCTCTTACGTCAAACAGACCCTGTCCCTTCAGCTTGTAGAGGAGCGGGTTTAAGAAGCCCAGGGCAGGTAAGCCCTTTGCAAACCGCTGACCGTTGATGAGGGACAGCATGCCCCCAACCACAGGAGTTGATGCCTGGAGGGGCAGAAATACCACTAACAAGCTCAGAGAACAACAAAACCGGAGGTGAAAATATTTTAAAAAATGCCATGAATGTTATCTCTGCTTCTTAGAAAAGCAAACATTTACTTAATATTTCACCGCTTCTGGATTTTTGCACCAACTAAACTCTAAAGCAAGGCTCCTAAAAAAACCACCCACACTACTAGTTTACCCGTTTAATTATAGATTCACTAGAATAAAAACAATAAAGTTTATCCCTCACCAAATAGAATATTTACTAAGAAATCACAATGTAACCATAGAAACACTACTTGGTATATATATATGGTGTGTGTGTGTGTATCCATGTGTCTGCTCTGTCTTATTGATCCCCATTGAGTCGTGGTGGATGGCTGCTTATACTGAGCCAGGATCCTCTGGAGGTTTCTTCCTATTATAAGGGAGTTTTCCTCTCCACTGTCGCTACATGCTTGCTTAGTATGAGGATTGCTGTAAAGACACTGACACCAATCAGTGACTTGATGCAATTTGCTGGGTTCCTTATGTAGGAAACGTTTTTCTGATTGGCTTAATGAACAGGGGTCTCATTTATCAAACATTGCGTAGAGTCCTTACTAAAACCGTACTTCAGCTCAGCAAAAAAATGTACTTACGCCAAGTAGGTTTGTGATCTATCAAACATGGACTACGCATAGCTGCATGCAATCTCCGCTTCATAAATCAGAAACTATCTAGAAAGGTTCTCAGCTGCATTTTAGTCACATCCCGCCCTCACCACGCCCACTTACTGCCATAAATAGTCAATGCAAAGTGCCTTGTGGACCTCATGCATATACATAAGCCGGCTGTTGCAGTGCTCCGCCAATGACGATGGCGACCGTAGATCAAGGCAGATCAAGGAAGCGCAATTTCACAGAAGCAGAAATTGAGGTAACTGTGGGTGAGGTGGAGAAATGAAAGGAAGTGCTTTTGCAAAACAAATAAGAGAAAATCCACGGAGTGGCACAGCGTTGCTGAAGCCGTCAATGTTGTGAATTCTTCAGAGAGATCTGTGGCGGATATAAAAAATGGTCCATTTGGGATTGGAACCCCAGACCCCCAAGTGAAAGTCACGCGCGCTAACCAGTCAGCCAAACGGAGATCTCCCCTGTCCAAGTAGCCTGTGCGCATGATCAATCGGGTCACAGTGACAGGACACACACTGTCACAGACGCATGACATTCTGTCTCAATCTGTCCCCCTGTTGATATTCTGCATTCCATATTCTGTGCTTCAGGCTGTGTGTGTGTGTGTGTGTGTGTGTGTGTGGGTGGGTGGGGGGGGGGTCTTGTTCTGTGTGAAAACGAAGCAGTACAAGTGATAATGCTGCAGGATTTCATAATTTTATCCTTCTCAGCAGCAGCTCTGCAGGTGCTCTCCATGTCCAACATGTGCGTAAGCCAGGTCCTTAGTCAACTTAATGTTGCTCACATTTTTCCGCTAAGTTTTCTTTCATAAATCCCAAAGTTTGCGTGGAAAGTTGCTTACGCAGCTTTCCGACCCCGTTTTGTGCGTAAGCAAGCTTGATAAATGAGGCCCCTGACCTGTATGGGCATGTTTACTGTGTGAAGTGCCTTGAGACGACTCTTGTCGTGATTTGGCGCTATATAAATAAACTTGAATTGAACTGAATTAAATTGGTCCGGATCGTGTTTAGACAACTTGAGGAAATAGTTTTTACCGTGTAAACATCAAGAACGGCATGCTCCAGGACCAGTAAGGAAAACATGCATATCATTTAAATATTTATTCTCAGAGAAATTATAATGTTTGAAATACTTTACCGAAGTCCCAGACACCCAGGGGATGGGCACTCTGTCCATGACCACCCAGTAATTTTTGGACAGGGCCGCCATGTCTGGGTAGGCCCGGCCGCTGGTGTTGAAGTAGGACGCAGGAGGGAGAGCTGATGTGCCGGTCTTCAGATACGCCTCCACAGCGCTGGCCTGAGGGGAAAATCAGGAAACCACGACATAAACACCATTTCCTAGTATCAGTACTGAAAACCCTCAGCACAGTTAATGTTGACACAAAACAAGTAAATAATGGTGGGCAACTGAAGTCTGCTTGTATTATATCTGCACCTGGTAGTCCGGCATCTTGAAGACGTTGCTAAAACCTCCTCCGCTGATGTAATCTGTGACTTCATAGGAGACTTTGAACGGATTCTTGAAGGACGTTCCTCCAACTGTGGTCACGTAAGGGCTGCCGAACAGAGAAATCCAATTATTTCTGACTTTTCCGCCAGATTAACACGCCAATAATGTAGAGGTTTAATAACAGAATGCAGTTTTAGTTTCAGGAATCTGAATTTACCTTGAGGCTGGAAAACTGGGCCTGAAGGTGTTCTGATCTTTACCCATGTGCCTGCATCCTGCACCGTTGTCACCTGAACGTGACACAAGATCAAAGAGATAAAGAGCGGTGTAACAGGTAGCATACCTCGCACACATTTGTCAGATGCTACGGATAAAGTTACAGGAAAAGGCCAACGGACCCTCGGGGTTGTTGTTTTTCTTTTTTGTTTTGTAACAACAACCAGTCGTAGTTCATTCATCATTGTGGTGTTGAATCAGAACTCTGGGTCAGGAAATGAAAGCTCACTCTTCCTCTTCTGAACCACTGAATCATTCCTTTTGAGGAACATCAAACCTTGCTATGTGAATCTCAAAGAGTCACACGTTTTGAATCTGTTATGTTGGTGATGCAGATCGAACGTCTGTAAGGTGTGACTGACCAGAAGCAAAGAGCAGAGAGATCCCCCTGACTCCAGCCTTCATAAACTCGGTGTTGATGCGCATCATGTAGGCGGTGGACAGGCTGTCCTCGTCGTCCCCGTAGCTGATGGTGTGAACCCGGGGCAGGTCGGACATGTTGCTGAGCAACAAAATCCACTGCAGGAAGGGCTCCTGGGACTCGTGACGACCTGGAGACAAACAGTAAAATGAGACATGAGGGAACGTGTTAAGGGTGAATCTATTGAAGTTTTCCTAAAAAATAATGACTCACTCTGACCTGAATTAGAGAAGACCCATGTGGAGATGTTTGCCCCTGTGCTCATGATGTACTCCACATCCAGACTGGCCTCTATACCAGCTTTTCCTTCACCCTGGGTGCCTATGACTTGATCCACCTCGGACAGATGCTTGAACGTCCGACCAAATATGCTCATGAACTCGGCCAGGTCAGCAGGGTGGTAGTACTGCTCCAAGAACTGAAGGACGAGGCAGAAAATGTAAAAACTGCAACGATGTGAAACATAACATCAGAGGGAAACATCACACGTCCACTGACTTGAGCTACAGCCTGTCTGTTGTCCTGATCTGATCCCACATCAGCTGCTGTCAGATTGTAGCGCTCCCTCAGGATGGCGGGAGTCACTCCGAGGTGCACTTCTCCTTTAAACTTCTGCTGCTTCCTGTTGCCGTCTTTCTTTGTAGGCGGGAGGCGGTGAAGTCCTCCAACTGTAGAAGCAGAAAAGCAGCTGATTTTTGTTGACTAGAACGTGACTTGGATGAAAAATCAGCTGAAAATGAAACAAAGCTCACCAAAATCAAGGTGTTGGTGAACATCGTCGCTAACAGCGTATGGACCTGAGGATCTCACAATAGACTGGCCGTCTCTGACGTAATGGTGAAACCTACTTCCTGGAAGAAGCTTCTCAGCAATCCTTCAAACGAAATAAATAATATTAAAACCAAACCAACTGATTTCTACTCAGAGACTAAGGTCTCTGTTTTTAGGTGGTTTTAGTTTCATAAAGTTGACAGACATCCACTGCTTCACATCTGTTAAGCAGTCCAGTAGAAGCCAACTGAATTAAGAGATGAGTGTAAGATGGATCTGAAGATCATCTGCAAAAGTAGAGCTCAATGACGAAATGTATAATGAAAAAAGTGTGGGCCCCAAAATGGAACCTTGTGGAACACCGCTGGTCACAGGTGCTGTTTCTGATGTGAAAAGACCCACGTTCAGGACCTACCCTGCAAGTAGGACTTGAACCATTTAAGAACAGTGCCCCTACCAACACGACTCCAGATGAGACAGCAGAATGTCATGATCAAAAGCATTGAATGCAGCAAATAAATCCAATAACAATAGAGCAGCCAAATTACCAGAGTCACTGATTACCAACAAATTAAAAACCTGTAAAAGAGCACTTTCAGTGCTGACGTGCATTGAAACCTGATTGAAATTTTTCTAAAGGTAAAATAATCTTGTAGCTGAGAAATGAACCACTTTCTCCAGGGCCTTTGACAGAAAGCTAAGCTTAGAAACAATCAATCAATCAATCAACTTTTATTTATGTAGCACTTTATCGTACAATACATGCAACTCAAAGTGCTTAACAAACCCACATTCCCTCCCATCCCCAGAATTTTAAAAACAGTCTGACAATAAAAACCCCTTCACAACACTCATCCTCCGGCACACACGCACACACATGCACACGCACGCACACACGCACACACACACACACACACACACACACGCACACACATGCATACATGCCCCCTTTCCCATGGTAAAAAAACACGATTGACTGAGATCAGATGAGCCAGACCAGCTAAGATAAGGATAAGGAAACACCATCAGGGGAGCCATCTGCCCCGGCAGCAGCAGATCCACAGCAGCAGCCGAGGCACTGACACAGGGCGCCCACCTCCATCTAGGCACACCTGGAAAGCACCCAGGCCACCACAGCCGACCACCGCTGCCGGGGCAGAGGGCTCCCACAGAGGAACCACTGGAAAAAGGTTAAATTAAGGTTAAAATATACAATCAAAAGAACTAAAATGAGATTTGTAATATAAAAAGTTATATAGATATTAAAATAATGTTGATCATAAATCATGGTAAAAAACTGTTTAAAAAGCAAGTATAAAGAAAGAATACATTAAATAAATTTAAAAATAGATAAATAAATAACCTAAGTAATTAAATAATTTAAAAAGTGAGAGTATTCAGTTAAAAGCTAAGCTAAAAAGATGGGTCTTGAGCCTGTTTCTAAAAACATGAACGTTCTCAGCAGCCCTGAGGTCCCCTGGCAGCTCGTTCCAGAGGCGAGGACCGTAGTACTGGAAGGACGCTTCGCCGTCAATATGAGTCGTGACTTTAGGGATGACAAGGAGACGGCTGCCAGAGGAGCGCAGAGACCGCGTGGGTTCATACGGTAAAAGCAGTTCTGAAAGATAAGAAGGCCCAAGACCGTTAAGACACGTAAAAACCGTTAAAAGTATTTTGAAATCGATCCTGAAACATACAGGGAGCCAATGCAGTGATTCTAAAACTGAAGTGATGTGCTCTCGCCTCCTGGTCTTCGTCAGGACACGTGCTGCTGAGTTTTGTAATAGTTGTAGACCTGAAATCCTCTTTTTAGGAAGACCAGAAAGCAGGGCATTGCAGTAGTCTATCCTACTGGTGATAAAAGCATGCATCAGCGTCTCCGTATTGGCCCAAGAGAGAATGGGGCAGACTCTGGCGATGTTCTTTAGATGATAAAAAAATATTTTGGTGATATTTTCAATATGATGGATAAAACTCAGCTCAGTCAAAGATGACACCCAGGTTCTTCACTTGTGAAGATGGATTACAAGACAGTGATTGTAATTTTGGTAAAAGCTTATCTCTGGGACCGATAACTAAAACTTCAGTTTTGTCTTGGCTGAGCTGGAGAAAGTTTTCTTCCATCCAGGATTTGATGTCAAAAATGCAATTAAAAAGTGTTTCCATTAGCCGTGTGTCATCAGGAGACAGAGATGTACAGCTGTGTATCATCAGCGTAACTGTGGAAATTCACCCCGTGTCTCCTGATGACACTGCCGAGAGGGAGAATATAAAGGTTAAAAAGCGCTGGGCCTAAAATTGAACCCTGGGGCACACCACATGTAATCCCATGAACCCTCAAGAAACAACTATATTTAGAAAGGTAAGTAGGATCTAAACTTGGCTATTTTAAGAGTGGAGGCTAGTTTAAAACACCGTAGGACTTAACCTGAGAGGAGGGAAACATTAGAGGTGGAATGTAGTCCAGAACACAGAGAGAAGGCCTCTAATGATGGGTAATGACCAATAGTTCCTACAGAGGGACTGGTTGAAACAAAAGGGGAAAGAACTTAGATCTAAAACAGAAGATAATGATCTAATAAGTGAGATTTTATCTGGGAAAAGGTTTAGGGCAGGGGTAGACAACTTCCTTCCTTGAGAGCCGGTATCAGGTATGTTTTAGTTGTTTCTCTGCTCCAGCAGCTGATGAAGCTCGGCAGGATTAAAATGATTAAAATCAGGTGTAATGAAGCAGAGAAGAAACTAAAGCATGAATGATACTGGTCCTCGGAGAAGGGAGTTGTCTACCCCTGGTTTAGGGTTGAAGGCATTTGGTCAGACTATAAAAAAGAGGAAGACTGCTGCATGATGCCTGATTGTCTTTAAAACCGCAGAAACAGGAACTGCCTCACAAGATACTATTTTCACGAGATTTACGAGACTAAAGCAGAAAAGTCACCAGGAGCCTTTTTCCTGTTTTCACACAAAAGAGAAGAGAAAACAGGACAAATGTTACCAAATAAAGAAACGCTTACTCTGCAGTCATGGTGCACTGTAAAAAGTCCTGAGTGTGAACAGTGTGACAGCTTGAAATCCCATGATGCTGCAGCCAGCTATGCACCGTTTTCTGGGTGAGTTCAGACGGACGAACAAGAGAAGCGACTTCTTCAAGACTGAGATATTTTCCTGGGGAGGAAGTTTGAAGAATCTCATAAAGTCACACTTGACTCCTTTCTGTGTGTGTGTGTGTGTGTGTGTGTGTGTGTGTGTGTGTGTGTGTGTGTGTGTGTGTGTGTGTGTGTGTGTGTGTGTGTGTGTGTGTGTGTGTGTGTTATCCAGTATGTGTAGTGTTGAATACCATAATGAGCTGAATCTGGGTCTGACACCAGCCTGAGTCTTTCCTCCAACAGATGAATGTTCTGCTGCTTCAGGGCAAAGGTCAGCTTCAGCTCATCTGAGGCATCAGCTCGACCATCATGAGTCCAGTCCTTAGAAATCCTAAAAAATAAATAAATAACATCATCCTATCATAACAATAAACTACACCTTAGATTCAAACATCTGCTTACAGGACATCTTGGTCATATTCAAGATATCCACACCAGACCAAGGAGGTGCATAACAGGGGGATGGAGAAGGTCAATCTGATGGAGACAGAAAACAATAACACAGCTTTAAAATTCTAGGTCATCACACCCGAAAGTAGTTTGTGGTTATGACAACAACTAGTGATGCATATGAGCTCAAAAGGTAATTCGAGGTGAAAACAACAATTTTTAGCAACATTTTAGCCATTTTTAAAAATGTAACATGGACAGAAGTTATTTACAGCCGCAACATTAGCCACGACTAAGGTCAATGCCAAAAGGTAAACAAAAGCTTAAGACGGGTTAAGATATATTACATTTTATTTTTTTGGTGGTGCCATAAAAATAAAATATTTCATCTTATTCAGGTACTCACAGTATCTTCATGGTGTCACGGCAGTGACTAGCCTGCTATAAAGGCAGCTCGTTTCGCTGTTGTCGCCGGATACGTCATTTGGAATCCTAGGATGTCCAAGGAAGGTCCCGCCTTTCTCACCTCTGATTGGCTGGAAGGGCTCTCCTACGATTGGCTATTTCATGTAAGACGTTTAAATGATATATTTATTTAGTCTGGCTTGCCAGGCTAGGGTTTTTATGTTTACAGCCAGATCTTCAGGAGTGTTTTGAAGAAAATAGCTATAATAAACATCCTTTCCTGTTTTGCAACAAACCAGTTTTAGTTTCATAAATGAACGTGGAAAAACGTCAAATGTGAACTTGTAATAAATCTTATTGCATTTTATCACACTGTAGACTGACTCCATATCTGTTGGCTCTATAGGGGTTATCTTATTACTTAGTTATTAGGCTATCCTATGTCTTCACTTTAATAAATTAAGGGTGTTTACAAGTTAGAGCACATCTCTCATCATCAGATTAAATGCGTGTCATTTATCAAAAATCAACCGATTATGATTTAGACCAATTTTTCACCAGTTTTCATTATTCTAGAAAAGAAAAAGACCTGATGCACACAGCTGGGCAGAATATGGCAGTTTTCATAAATTTCATACCCAGATAAGGCACATATGTTTATCCTATGTACTCTAACACTTGAGAGCCAAGAGATACGAAGTAAGTCCAACAGTTTGATAAATGCAACAAGATTCACATTTTACGTTTTTCAGTTTTTTATCAAACATAAAATATTTTGCAAAACAGGACAGAATGGTTATTAAAGCGCTAAGTCCACATTTTCATTACAAAACTCCAGAGATGTGGACTCAAGTCACATGACTTGGACTCCAGGCAGACTCGAGTCAATATTTTAATGACTTCTGACTTGACTTGATAAAATTTATAAAGACTTACGACTTGACTCGGACTTAAACGCCAATGACTTGCGAGTTAAATCGACTTGCATCTGTTACTTGATGATGACTTGAGCATATTTGATATTTTAGCACAAAAGTGGCACGACATGGACAAAAATCAGAAATCATTCTTGTTCTGCAAAATGCAGAAGCACTTTATTTAGAATCAGTTTCAGTTGAACTTTCTGCTTGTTTGAGCAAATAAATGAAGCTTTAAGAAGCTTTATTTCTGGAATTTATTTATTATCATTGTCATTAAATTGAAGTTGGGCAGATGACTTGATTATGACTTGAAAATTCAAAGCTAAGGACTTGGACTTCCTCATAATTGACTATGGATTCGACTTGGACTTGATTGTCTTTGACTTGGACTTGACCGGAAAGACTTGTGACTTGCAAAGCAGAGACTTGGTCACACCTCTGGAAAAACTCCCCAAACCAGCTTTATGCTGTTAGCGAGGACAGGCGGTTTGCTGCTAAATGAAATAGTAGTGGAGCCTTTCTAGCCAATCAGAAGCGAGAAAGGCGGGATCTTCCTTAGACATCCTAGGATTCCAAATATCGCTCCCGGAGTCACGTGAGAGGCGTTCACGTACTCTTAACCGCGGTGGGGTTTTACAGCTTTATACTGGTAAAAGCTTCCGTCATCCAGGTCATGGGAATCCAAAGGGTTCAACTGAAGGCAATTAGACGTCTTTGGTTTCTTGAAGATGTTTCGCTTCTCATCCGAGGAGCTTTGTCAATTCCAACTGGAATACGGGAGAGTCAAGCTTATAAGCTGTCTATAACAAAAAGGAAAACAAAAGGAAGAAAAACACATCAAGAAAGTTCCCCAAAATTGCAGATACCCTAATTGGGCCTTTGTGAAATCTACAAGATGTCTGGAAAAGCATCCAAAGCAGCAACCAAAGGCCAGCATTCGTGGCAGGAGTCTGAGAGAAACTTAGAAGAATCTTCTCCAAACACAACATCCCAATAAACTTTACACCCAACAACACCCTCAGACAGAAACTGGTCCATCCAAAAGACAAAACACCCAAACAGAAGCTCTGTAGCATCGTTTATGCAGTCCAGTGTAGTGAGGACTGTCCAGATGTTTACATTGGAGAAACACATGGCACAACACAGCAGAGCCACCGTTTCAGGTCAAGACTCTCATGTATTTATCAGGATTGTGCTCATTTTATTATTTTTTCATAAGTGAAAAATTCAAAATTATCCTTTAAGGTAAATAAAATATTCTAGTAGTACATCTTTACAGTGATGCCGTTAAAAAAATCAACTATTGATCTTACTATACCTTTTATTATCTAATCATACATTTAATTAATTATAGATTAAAAAAAGAGTAGCTTGTACCAAAATACAAAAGCCATACGTATCTAAATATTTCTGGTCTATATTAAACCCTAAACTCCAAAAACCAAGCACATTTAAATTAGATCAAACAAAAAAGGTTTATTAAAAAGACATTTACAACTAGATCTTTGAGAACGCACTTAAGGTAAAAAACCATATTGACAAAGAGCCAGTCGGATTTACAAAATTAAGGACTTTAAATTTCTAACTTAACAGATCTTCCAAGCAAAACTTCTAGTTGAAATTCTATATACATATATGTAAATATATATATATATATACATATATATGTGCGTTTGATTGGTTAAACCTGGTAAAAATGTATTTACATCTTCAATCTGTTCTTCTGACTCCAGTTCATGTGGACTATTTCCTAAAAGAAAATAAAACATTTAATCTTTAATTCCAATCAGGTGTCTGAGAAGTAGAAGTCCTGCTGCTCGTCGCTGTCAGACAGACAGTCAGTGTTTCCTGGGAACATCTCCCAAACTGCAAAGTTGTTGTTTTCTACTGAAGGAAAAAAGAAGATGTTAATAAAGGTTTGGTCTGATGTAAATTTGTGTAGGACAGGGTTATCTGCAGGTTTAAGGGAGCCAAATTTATGACTTTTTAATACCTTTTTTAAGGCCACTTTGACCAAATTTATGCAATTTTTTTATTTATTTTAAGCTACAATTTCCAGCAATTGCCTGGAACCGGTGATCACCACGTCGAGGATGTGGGATTAGCCATCCAGTTACCATTAAACTTGCACATCCCCATGGCGCAAGCTCCCACTAGCTTAACCAGCTATATGTGCTCATCTAAAAACAGCCCCCTTTCACAACCAACCGAATGTGTACGGTTCCGCTTATATCACACAAAAAATCCTGAACACTAACTAGAAATTCATGAACATTTTATAGAAATAAAAGAATCTTGTTTGTTGGGTCTTTGGTAATTTAAGACCTTTGGAAATTGTTTTCAAGGCCTTAAATTTGGAAAAGTAAATTTAAGACTTTTTAAGGACCCGCGGATACCCTGGTAGGATAAAAACTTTTACATGTATTATTATACTACAGTAGCCGAGTGTATTTTGTAGTAAATGTAATTAGACACCAACCTGTGCATCTTTGTATTGAGCGTTTAACTGACGGCGTTGCAAATTTCTACAAGAAACAAAGAGACTCTTCAATGTGAAATCAGACGACTTAAATGAGTCAGAAATGAAACCATCAATCCTTCAAAAGCCCGTACCGTTGGCTGTGTCATCCTGGAGGCGTTGAACTGATTCTTTTTCATTTTCTTCTGCAGTTGATAAACGACCTTGTTGTCGTTTTTGCTTTGAAAATGGAGAAAACCACAACGGCGTTATTTGTCTGGAGTCAGCGAAGAAAATAAAAACGCAGAAGTCGAGCTCTTACGTGTTGGGAGAGCCGATCATGCCCGGAGTGATGGGCAAACACTGAGGCGTCTTCGCTTCGGGGAAGCGCGACAACATCGGGGGTCTGAGGTGCCAGGCTCGAAATCGTGAACTCGTGTTCGTCGCTCAAACACACAGAAGGAACCTGATCATCAACGGGTCAAAGAGTCAGTTCCTCATCTCGTCACGAGTCGGATTTGCACAGAAAAACGTGAAGCAGACAGACCTCGACGCGCTGGTTCTGCATGTACGCCGAGCTGAAGGCGTCGTCGGACATCTTCTCTGGCCACAGCCTCCAGGAACTGACGCACCTGCTGCTTCCTCTTCAACGTCCCCACTCGGGCAGAAACCACCGGGCGCTCTGTTATCACATGAATTTGCTCAGTTCTGGTTTTATACCACAAACATTGCTAACAGCCGGTACTGATCTACCTGGAGGTTTCGGTTCTTGCACCTTCGTCTTCTTCTTGGGTTTTGCGGTGCCCTCTCTCTGGACTCTGGCGTGCTCCCTTTGACACGTGCTGCTTGTGGCATTCTTCTGCTGAGCGGGTTCCCACCATCCTCGCCACCTTGGCCCAGAAGCCCGTTATGTTTCGGGGATAGAAAGACACGGCTCTGGAAAACAAAATCAGATATAAAATTCATGCTTATAGATTTGACTTCTCACCGCATGAACTTACTCTTGAAGCTTACTGAGCTCCATCTTGGTCCACCCGTTTTCATCTTCCTCTTTCTGTTTAACTTTGTTGCTCAGTCTTGTTCTGCCCATCGTTTTCGGTTCTTCCTCCCTCTTCTT